ATTAATTTATGGCTGTGGGCAGGATCCTCATACATTCGTTGCTCCTGGTAGCGTGGGTTAACCTCAGACCTCCCTAAACCAGATTGCACGTGTTTTGTGTTCCTAACGTGGCCCCTGGAGATGGGCACTGGTGTGGTAAACCTCGGGCTCCTTCTGGCTGTGGATTTTGTCAGGGTGGCTGTAGAGGTCAGTTCCATCCTGTGCCAGCAGCTCTGTGGCACATGAGCACGGGGCTGTCTTGGTGGGAGCCTCTGTTCCTGCGTGAAGCTGTTAGTTGCTCATATTCATTGCTCCTTTGGTGACGTTTGCAACTCCTAAGCTGTCATTACTGAACCCTCCTGCCCTGGGGTAAACCTTGGGGCAGCAGATAAACCTTGCCAGAGCTTGTGCTGAGCTGGGAGGCTTGGCTTGCTCCAGCCTTGCTTCCTTCATACCTCCAACCTTGTACCTTCCTGTAGCATCAGTGTTGGTTTTCCAGAGCTGCTTGGCCAGGATTTTCAGTGTGGTGATGGTGGGAATGTTTTTCACTGAGCCTGAGCGTGCTCTTGTTTGCACCAGATTGTTTTGGAATGATGCTGCTGGTGGTGAGGGAGCCAAGTCTGCAACTACCCCGAGGACAGAGCCTGGACTCAGTGTCTTTCTTCTGCTTTTACACAGTTTGGGAGGGATTTGGAAGTAGCTAGAAATCCTCTGCCCAGAGAGAGACAGGCAGTTCTTGGTTTCATTCAGAAAGTAAATGTCAGGAATGCTTCTCTTTTCCTCCTGCTGGGATTGGAGAAAACTTTTGGGGCAGTCAGAAGGGTGCCCAAGTGCTTCCTCGTGCACAAGCACAGGGAACAGTGGGAAGCAGGGTCCTGTGAGGGTCGTTGCTGTTTCACTGAAGGCTTTGGGCAGCAGAGTTTAACAATTCAGCAGGGCAGGTGATTTCTGTTCTGAGAGCCATCCCTCCGTGCTGCTTGTGAGGTGCATCAGAGTGCAAAACAAGGCTCTGGCTCCTCGCTCCCCCCCACCCTTCCCGCCTGTAAATGGGTTTTATGTCACTGTGTGTGTCTGGAGATGGATTGTTTGCAGTTGGATGAGAGCTGAGTGTGTTCTGTCCAGAGGGGGATGGTCCCACAGCAAGCTGAAATCTGTGCAGTGCTGGTCCTCAGTTGTCTTCATGAAGAGATCTGCTGGGATCAGAGCTGTTTGCCCACGGGGAGCAGCTCTAGGGCTGTGCTCCTTGCTGGTACCTTCTGAGGAGCATAATTGTTCACAAGTGTTACCTTTCAAACCTGTGGATGAAAAATGGATCATCTGACTCATTCTCTTTGCAGTGTAGTTTTTTTCCAAGCCTGCAATACTGTCCAGGAAACATCTCTAAGAGAAACTTCTTTCCACCTCTGCAGCTTCAAGTATCTCAAAGGCTTCTGCTGTATTTTGAAGCAAGTCCTATGGAAAAAGAATGATTTGCTAAAATTGGTGTGTTTCCATGTGCTAGTGCTGCTCATGGGTGCTGTGCTGTGTATGGCTCAGGAGATCATGTCCATCCCAGTGGCCATGGCCCAAGTCTAAACTTAACCTTGGTGAAGGGATAGAGATGGTACCTTTATCTGATTGCAAAGGAGGAAATACACATCTTAAAACAATTCATGGTTGCCAAAGAGTATCTTTTTATTAGCGTGTGTGTGCTTGAAAGCCTCCAGTATATAAATACACAGTAGTTTCCTCCTTGGTGTCAATAGGGAGAACATGCTGGGTCTGCAGAAGTGTTTGTGTCCCACAGCTCTGGCTTGCATTGGTAGGACATGATGGGGCAGGACCATGCTGGTCACGCCGTGCCTCAGGAGCCTGGTGAAGCAGGACAGGGAGCCAAAGATCACATTTCACTGGGAAGTTTTTCCATTTCATTGCAGTTCCTTGGTGGGGATGATTTCAAAACCAAACCAAGTCGTCCTAAACAGAGCCCAGACCCAAAAGCCCATCTCAGACCTGAGAGGGGGTGATATTAGCTGGCAGCTTGCAGCATGGCTGGTGGTTTATCGTTAGGCTTGTGCTAATTGCAGGAGATGCAGGGAGAGGGGAGGTGATGTGTGCTGCAGCCTGTCCAGCTCGGGCTGGGAGCATCTGCCTGTACTTGCTGCTGCTCCTGTCTGCTGGCTGCCACACGCCTGGGTGTGTGTAGGAGCCTGCTGCAGCCACATGAATCATTACCTTAGGGA